TGGAGGGCCGGGAGCGGATCTGCTGGAGCACACGGTTGAAGGCGGTGGGCCGGGCGGGCAGGTCGTGCAGGGACACGGCATAGGAGACCCGATGCATCTCGGGGGAACGCTCCTTCTCATCCGGGGAGTCATGGTCAGACACGCCCTGCTGCTGCTGCTGATGCTGCGGCGGCTGGCAATCCTGAGACGTCTGGTGCTCCCTCTCTCGTGACCGGCGGCGGCTGTGGAACAGGTGCTTCAGGCCGTGGCTGAACATGGAGCCCTCCGAGAGCTGCTGGATTTTCTTAAGAGGGAGAGACAAAGGGCCCTGGTGAGTGGAAAGCTCCTGAATGCCCAGTTGGTGGGCAGAAGTGAGGTGTCTGCTCTTGGGAGATCAGTGTAGCCCCTACAGCTGTCTGACTCTGGAAGACCCTCTAAAGGGCCCATCACACCTAAAGGTCACGCCTTGCAGAAAGGTGGCCACCCAGACCTGCTCCTTTCGTTCCAAAGATATGCACCTCCATGGCTCCCCACAGGACATTCCCAACCCACACGTGGGGTCAGGGTTACTGGTCATGAGATCCTCGTGGCTAGTCTGGGGCACACGCAGGCAGCTCGGAGGTGGTTTCCCTCTGGTCTGATTCTCCCCTGCCCCCCAGCCCCTGCCTCATTCTAAGGTAGGTCCTCCTTCAAGCTGCATGGGCTCCTCTAGACCACCAGGCATCCATTTCCAAAGAGGCCTCAGTGTGACACTCTGGGAAAATCAGAGTCATACAATCAGGCTATGCAGACACTGCTAACTGCCCACTCAATATCTTTTCTCCTTTCTTTCTTATCAACCAAACTGCATAGCCTTCACGCACCCTGCTAAAAATTCTTGCTTCATCAGACTCCCTTGCAGCTAAGAGTAGCCACATGACACAGTTTTAGCCAAAAAAAACCCAACAACAAACAACAACAACAAAAACAAGGTGAGACTCTCTAGAAAGACTTGCTTCCCTAATAAAGGTTCTGGCCTTCCTACTTCTTCCCGCCTAGAATGTGGAGGTAATGGCTGGAGATGCAGCAGTCATCTTGCCGCTAGGTGACTGGTATGATATGAAGGTCTGTTTGCAACAGACCTAGAGCCTGAGAACTTGAGGGCCCTACGGAACCACCAAACCAGCTGTGAGTGCCTATCCTGGGATTCCTGCTGCATGAAATAAATAAACCTCGCTTTGTCTATACAACGCTAGTATGATTTTCTGTTATTTGGAGCCAGTCTCGTTCCTGGTATTGTTGACAATAAAATAAACTTCACTGGAGATTCCAGGTCAGTGAGTACATCACATGCCAGGAGGGTGGGACACACCCCAGTTCCTTCAGGACAGAAACTCCCGCACTTGGGACCCCTCCAGACCTCACCCTATGTACCTCTTCCTCTGGCTGTTCCTCCGTGTCCCTTATAACAAACTGGTAAACGTAAAAAAAAATAAATAAATATGCCCAGTCAGTGTAGCTCAGTGGTTGAGCATTGACCTATGAACCAGGAGATCACGGTTCGATTCCTGGTCAGGGCATATGCCTGGGTTGCAGGTTCAATCCCCCATGGGGGGCATGCGGGAGGCAGCCAATCTGTGATTCTCTATCATTGATGTTTCTATCTCTCTCTCCCTATCCCTCTCCCTTCTTCTCTAAAATCAATAAAAAAATATTTTTAATCAATAAATAAACTCCTATGGACATACCTTTAGTGTCGTCAGTAATGTGACCACTTCTTTAGCATATGTATCAAAACCTGCTGTCCAAATGAGTGCCTGTCCCCTTACACTGGAACAATCCCAAGAGGCCCCGGGGCCCAGTGAGGCCCTGGCAGCTCTGCTGATGCTGAGATTCCCCACCTGCTCCCAGGCAGGGCTGCTCAGAGAGGCAGCTGGACCACCGGGCCAGGCGAGACAACGTGTGCTGTCATCCCAGACAGCTGTTCTGTCGGGGGCTGGTTTCTCTGGCCAGGCTGAGCCCTCAGCAGAGCTCCAGAGCCAATGGGAGGAGGGCCGGGACCGGGAGGACCAGGTGAGAACCCACAGTCTGTAACTCCTGGGCGGGAACTCTGAACCCAGCCATTTGGGGCCCCATGAGCCACATCTGGAGGAGCAGCCCTTCATCGCATGAGGCAGCCTCCGTCATTTCAAAAACATCCCAAAGGATTACACTTCCTGGATTTTTTTTTTTTTTAGAAACAAAACTTCCAGAGCAGAAAACTTAGACCGTGTGGAAACCAAAAGACGCCGCCTGTAGATCTGCGTCAGCTGCCCCACGCTCGCTGTGACTCTATCCCCCGCGTTGTCTGTGTAGACCGCTGCACAGACAGCGGTCTGTGACCACACGACCCGGAGCTGTGTAAAAGGTTAGCATTCTCATTTTCACCTCCCTGTCTCACCGCAATCCTCCAGGAGGGCGGGGCCCTGGCCTCACCCATCCTACCGACCAGATAAGTTACATCATCAGAACTCACTGTAAACTAAGCTTTTGCAGTTTCAATGTGCTTTTCCTCCTGCATCATCTCACCTGATTTTCCCAGAAACTAACAACAGTGACAGCAGTAACATTTCCATTTTTAGACGAGTAAATTAAAGCTACCACCATTCCCTCTCAAGAATGTAACTCCCGGACTGCCCCCGAGTTCAGGCTACACAATGCCAGGTTTCCCACGGGAGTCACCATCCCGCCGGGCCCGACGAGGCAGGACCACCTGAATCCACTCTGGGTAGAACCAACGCGTCCAAGGCAGCCTGGACTGGGGAGCACAGGCGGCTCTGGGCTAGAAAGGGCCAGATTCGCCGTCTCCAGACCAGGCATGAGCCAGGACACCTCCCTCCTCCTTATGCCCAGGCCGATACCAGACCTCCCTCCAGAGCCGTGGATGGGCCAGCTGGCTCTGGCGTTTGTCCAGCTGCTTCTGCCAAAGGGTCACATCACATATGACCAACTGCCTTTCTAGCATCCTATTCCAGGTCTTTCTCCTCTCCCCACCACTCCTAACCTGGCTTCTCCCACAGTGAGGCCAACCTTCCATATCCACTCAGGCAAAAAAAAAAAAAAAATGTCCCTTCCAAAGGTCCCATCGCCAGGCAGCATTTCCTCTCCCCGCCCCCACTCAGCCCCAGGAAATGGGCGGAGGTGCCATGGACAGCAGCCAGCGCTGTCTGCCACACGGCCTTGCATCCTAACATCCTTGGTCCGCTTATTTTTAATATTACACAACAGCATTTTTCAAAGTGCTTTCCAACTGATGCTGTCATTGCAGCCTGATGCCAGCCTACCCTCAGGAAGGAGGAGTGACGGGTACAGCAGCAGTGTCTCCGTTTTACAGGGGAAGACACTGAGGCCAGCACCGCTAAGTGGCTCACCCAAATCACACAGACAAACCCCCGGCTTCTGAGCCCCTAGGACAGTGGTTCTCAACCTTCTGGCCCTTTAAATACAGTTCCTCATGTTGTGACCCAACCATAAAATTATTTTCGTTGCTACTTCATCATTGTAATGTTGCTACTGTTATGAATCGTAATGTAAATATCTGATATGCAGGATGGTCTTAGGCGACCCCTGTGAAAGGGTCGTTCGACCGCCAAAGGGGTCGAACTTTTTTGAGGGACTCCCCTGCTCACACACTGACCCCACCCTAGAGCGGACACGGTGGCTATCTGTCTCCCGGGACAGTGGCAAAGGCAGGTTCAAAACAAAACAAACGCCTGGGCCAGGAGGCGCACGGCCCCCGGAACTGAGTGGTAACTCTATCCGTGTCACCAGTAGGACCTGGGCAAGACCTTCGACGCTGTGGCTTCGTGTCACACCTCCCCACCTGTGTGGCAGGTGAAGGGACGCAGGACCTCTGGCCCAGCAGCGTGAGGAGTCTGCTCAAGCCTGTGGTAGGCACGAAGGAAGGGAACAAAAAAGTCCAAGGATAGTGGGGGGCAGGTGAGCTCCACACGCAAGGGCTTTTCCTCAGAAGGTGCAAGGCAAGAAAGCAGGGTGGCGGGCCGGGCTGCTTCTGCACGTGGGTGCCAGGGAGGAGGTGGTGAAGGAGTTTTGATATAACATGGTGTGTTAAAAAACAACAACAACAACTCAGCACATCCACAGAACCAGTCTTAAGTTTGGGGAACGAGGAAAACCATGGTGACTAGCTGGAGGGAACTTAGCCACCAACGCAGCAGAAGGCACCACCTGCTCTGACTAACAGGTTCCAGCTACTAAATGTCACTTGCTTTTCCACACGGACTTTTGCTTTTTCCCCAGCGGCCAGACACCAGTTTTGGGGGCCAAACGAAGCCATGTAGTAGGAAAAGAGCTGAGATGTTTCAGAGTCAGAGGTGGGCACAAACAGAGGTTTCCTGACTCACAAGAAAAAGCAAGATCTACCCGCAAACAGCCCAGAGGCTGGAAGTGAGCAGAGAGAGAGCTTCCAGTGTCAGCTGCCTATGCATGGGGAGAGAATGAGGGGAGGGTGCTGCCTCCTTCCCTGGAACTCTAAGGGCAGGAAGGACCCCATCTTCTTTGGTGACATCATCCTCTCCGGAAGAAAGGGAGGACTCGATGGCTTCTGAACGATCCTTCCTGAGACGCCTGTGGTCTCTGAACAGCGAGGCTTCATCTGTTGCCCTCCCTGGGTGTGGGTCCCCCAAAGAGGAAGTTCGCTCCAAAATCTGCAAACACAGCTGCATGAGGCCAAAAGGAAAATGCTTCAAGGTACAGAGTCCCTGCCACCATGTGATGAAAAGTAGCCGAAGTGGCTTCTAATTCCTACAGGTCCCTGTGCTCCTAACAACTCCCAGAAAAGCTGAAAGCATCTTGCAAAGTCACACTAACCTACAGCTCACGTATCCCACCTGGCAGCTGACTGCATGTCCCTTCCTCACGCTTGGGTCTGAAACTCCCTCTGCCCCCCAACAAAGGTTTGGCTGTGAGGGTTCAGGGGGGTGACTGGGTCACAGTGAGCCTCAGTGAGCCTAAGTCGCCAACGTTTCTCTATTTATAGGGTCTCTATGGAAACAGGGCCAGCATTAGAGAGCTAATCGCTGTAAAAACCCACAGAGTTCTACTATCTGGGATGCAAAGTGAATTGCAGAAGTCTCCAACTGCTCTTCAGAAGCTTTTGGTGGGGACCCCGGGATTGGAGGGGGGGCAGGAGCTGTCACCCCAGGTCTGGCACCAAAGAGCACAAGGAAGGGTTTCTATTAGAAGCACAGTGATGAAAGGCTTTGTGAATCATTTCTTCTCCAGCATCAGAGCCGACATTAAAAAACAGACCTCAACTCGGGCAAA